AAATAGGACATTCTTTAAAGAATACATTCATCTAATTTTGTTTAGTATTCAAATCTCTGGGCTTATAAACTAATGTGCATTTCTTATTACCCCTTTGGAATGAGTGTTAATGCTCCAGAATGTACTTTCTCTTCTTCCCTTCCTCCATTTTATCATTTCTGAATTTCTCACTGCTATCTTCCAGTGGTACCAAAGTAAAGGTGAGGTAAAAGTTGGTCCAGAAGAAGCATTTTCTCAAGTTATCATAGGGAGCGGCCAGTCCTGTGTTAGCCCTGGTGCTAAGATGGACTAGTAACTGAGTCCGTCTGAGTAGTCCCTCCTTTGGAATTTGCTTCTCTTCTCGGTTCACAGAAGCCCAGGTCCTTGCCTCTCAGGACACAGTTCAATCTTTATCTACTTGGTCAGTTATTTACTTCATGATTATTAAGGTAGTGGTTAATGAATGACGCCAACTTAAGTATTTGGGGAACTTCTATTTAAATCTACAGTCTACATAGTTGACAAATAATTTATCCTTCGTTTTAGGAAATGGGATGTGGGCCTAGAAACTTGCCAACATATTTTTTTATTTAGTTTGGAAGCAAGGTTTTACTCTATTGTCTGTGTTGCCTAGTCTGGGCTTGAACTCATATTTCAGTTCTCCCAAGAGAGGGAACAAATAATTATCAGCCATGTAACATCACTGTCTATGTTTTAGTTTCATCAAGAGGATTTGGTCCAACTTAAAGCTTTGATACATTAACCCAAAGGAATTAAAAACAGTAAAACATGCCAAGGTAAACGCCAGGACTACTAGATGGTGGTAAGGGGAAAATGTCTTGTCTTAATAGCCTGTAAAATGTTTGGAGATAAGCTCACATGTTCAACTTCCTTTTCCCCATGTGATGTCTAAAAGCTTTAAAATTTATGAAGATGTTTGGAATATATAAATAGAGATCTCAGCTGGTAAGATGGCTCAGCAGGTAAAGGCACCTGGTACTGAGCACAGTGACTTAAGTTTAGTCTTCGGTACCCACATAGAAAAGGAGAGATCTGGTGTCCCCTGATCCTTATACATGTTCCATGATGTATATGTGTTTGTACGGTCATACACACAAAATAATGAATTTTAAAAATAAATAAACACTTATCAAGAATGACATTCAGTTTGGGGGCTAGTGGAGGCTTAGGAATAAATGAATTCCAGGAGAAATCCTAGTGTTCAATTCACTGAGCAAAATTCTCAATTGAAATTGACTAAAATTGATAGGCATTTTATACTCTGAAAGTTCAAAGAATTAAAACAGCAGCATGACTGACTGAAGCAGATGCTGATTCACTAAGAATAAAAGCGTTTTGACTTTTGGTGTGATTTCCCCTCCTTAGCAAGTGTACATTAGCATACACTTAAAAGAACTTAGAAGCCTTTGAAATGCCATGTATCTTTTGAAACATGAACACTTTACGGATTGACACCTTACTATATAAACAATGTGCCTGTTTGGCTTCATTTGATTACAAGCACAGGTAAGCACAGAGATGACTACCCACAGAGTATGTACTTATACCCAGAACTTTACTAGAGACAAGAGAGGCAAATGAACACCTCCCACTCAAAGAATTAGTAGTCTTACTGAGGATTTAAGATTCATATGCATTAGTAAAATAGTGAATGGCATAAGTTATTCTACTACAGGGACATGAAAGAGATTTAAATCAATATTGCTAAATTTTAGGGTGCATAAAATTACATACAATGCTAAAAAATCATTAAGAGTGTCAAGACTCACTTTGGTTCAATGCTACAGTCATTTGCATTTATGTCGAGCACTCCAGGACACGTGGATGCATTTCGCCTAAGAGGCTTCCTAGGATGGACTTGTGAAGTGATGGATCAGGGAGTTGGGCACAGATTGGAGTTATCGTTATAGAGAAGCAAAATGACATGAATTAGTAAGATCAAATTTGAAGGAGAGAAGGAGAGTATATTCTTAGCAGGAAAGGCTCCAAGGAAAGCACACATTTGAAAATGAATGTATCTTAAGGAAAAGACAACCAGAAAACAGGTTTGAGGGAAACTCACTTCTACTCTGTCCCCAATGATTGTCTGCACCACTCAAGTGTGATGGGCAATCGAACTCCTTAAACCAGATGGCGAAGGGGCTTCTTCCATCTGTGTTCAAACCTTTCATCTCACTTACGTTATCCATAATGCCCAAGAGTAAAGGACAAAGATGTAATCCTTAGGCTTACCAATCCACATACAAAGTCTGTATTTGTTAGTGAGCTGAATAAAGAGACAATATTGTAGATACATGACATAGTTTAAAAAAGAAGAGGAAAACATTTCCTTAGGTGTCCGAAAGAGTTTGATTCAAGTTATTACTATGTCACTTAGTGCCTGGCACATTTTATCTGAGCTCCTTGTTTCTGAGTTTCCACAAAACACAGGTGATAAAAATAACAGCAAATAACAATACAGATGTTCATGACTGTATTTGTGTATTTGTCCTGTTTCTAGAGAGTGAACCTGGAGTCTCATGCTAACTAGGCAAGGACTCTACCACTGAGTTATTGTCCCACACCAATCCCCCCCTTTTTTTTGCTTTTAAATACACAGACAGGGTCTCACTATATTTTCCTAAGCTCACTTTGTAGCTTGGAATGTACTTGAACTTGCAATCTTCCTCCCTGAGTCTCTTGAGTAGCTGTATTCATAGGCCAGCATCACCTGCCTGGATTATATTAGGTTTTGAAAATTAAACAGGATAGAAATTACAAAATCCCTGGAGCTAGTAGAAGATGGAGTACAAGAAAGTCATTTTTTTATATTTGAACAGAATGTGTTTTAAATTAACTAATGCTCACCTGATGTTACAACTTAATTTATATACAACACAACTACTGTGTGTTAAAATAACACAACTCTAGTAGCTTACAGAAGTTTAGGTTTCTCTGCTTCAAAATGAGGCAAACTCACACAGGAAACTAACTTGTCTTTGACTTGAAATTGATTAACACCAGGGCACAATTTGCATTCTCTTAAGATACATTCTTTAGAAGCTCCTAAAGTCTTGACGTTTCATTGCTTGGTAACTCCTGAGTGACATTCGCCACCAACTAATCCTTTAAGTTTACTGGAAGCTACTTTGTCAGATCTTTTCTGTCTGTGGACAGCTAGAGAACATAGCTGAGTATTAGGGAAATGGCTGTGTGGTAGAGGTCAAGCAGAGGGTGGATGTTCCATAACTATGGGCTCAAACTGCTTGTGTGGACACCTACCAAAGGCCTGTCTAGCTGGAGCTTCAGGCCTCAGAGTGAGGGTCCTGAGAACCTTCCTATGGGGAGAGACCATCCCTGGAAGAGAGCAGAGGCAAAGACAAGCACCAAATGCTCTTTTTAGCCGCTGTGTCGCTGAAGCATCACCTCTCCCAGCACTGCCTAGGCCCTCATTTCTGTCAGATGACATACAAATGCCATTTCATTTTTTGGTATCATTTCACGAAGTAATAGTCTCTGAGATGAGACAGTGAAGTTCAAATGCGCACACCCGGTGGCCTAAGAAAATCAGAGCAAAAGTTTTCCTTCAAAAAAAAAATCAAAAAAAGGAAAAGCATGTGACAAATTAGTCAGGGCCTTCGTGAGAAAAACAAGTATAAGTCTGGGCAACTCAGCTCCTTTAATCTGTTCTTAATGTTCTTTATTATTGCTACTTTGTGGATCATCACAATTGTATGACTATCATTATTCAGATGGCAGTCACCCTTTCTTTCATTTGTGAAATTTTTTATATAGTACACTATTCTTATTCAGAACATTTTTTTTATTTACTTGTCTAGTTTTCCTGAATCACCTTCTGTGTAATTTGGCTGGAAATATATCATTTTAGAGGGGAAAATTTCTTATTTACATTACTAATACAGGGAATGTTATTAAAAATAATTTTTTTCCTTGACAGGAAAATAAAGCAGAGTCAAAACCACTATGGAATTAGAAATCTGATCTAAATAACAACCATATGTTATAGAAGAGTGAAGTCAGTGTCAAGAGAAATATAAATTATAGGAGTTCTGGGTAAGTACTTTGCTGATATCTGGGGCTAAGTGCGCAATTGCTTAGTTGAACCTTAGTGGCTAATAAATTTACAATTTAAAACACACCAGACAATCCCTAGCCATCTTCTCTATTCTATGTTGTAGCAGTTTTCGTCATGCACACATGGAGGCCCTCGCACACATACATACATGCATAGACATATCTTGTATGACCCCAGTGAATTATCTCTGTACAGCTCCCTTGGCAATAATGTAGCTAGTATTAGGGCAATAATACCAATTCAAACTCATAACTGTCTTGAATGTGAGGGTTTCTATAAGGTTGATTTTTGTTTCTTACCCAAAAGGGGTATTAGGATCTCTAAGAGCCATGGATTATCACGCGTTCAAAGTGAAAGAAAAAAAATTGTTATCACTGTTTTAGAATGCTGACTGGGTACATGACCTGGGAAGCCCCAGGAAACCTCGCCAGCACCTAACACCCTTTCGTTTACTCAGTCCCGCGCTGAAATCGCTGCTGTTGGAGTTGCTGTTTCACCTTATACACTGAGTAGGCATTCTTGGGCACGGCTCTGGAGACAGTCTACGGAGGGATACTGAAGGGATCACAAGGGTGACAGCTCCAGCTAGGAGAAGCCAGGAGTCCTCCAAGGGGGCAGCAAGGATTGAGAGTGAACACTCTCAGTTAACGTTATGATCTTACCTTCCCCTGGTCGTTCCAGGCTACAGTCCAGTTACTGTGCACTAAGAAAGAGAAAAGGAACTAGTATTCCCTTTTACAAATCACATAAGCAAATGGTCTTTGAGTCCTCAAGCACTCTTGGGCTTATCTCCCTTTTTTAATTGTGATAGTAAAACAATAAAAATGAGTTTTAATTTTAACTAACACCGCTCGGGCTGAGGCAGTGAGTAAAGATGATCAGGTAGAAAATTATTAATCCAAGCTGGTTATTTAACATCTGCCGGAGGGTGAAGAGGACACACGATTGAAAGTACCTGCTCAGGACGATGAAACTCCTCAATTTTGTTTTGGTCTATCGCCGCTTTATCCTTGTGATTCTCTGTGTTCTCCTTTTATTGCCACTCCCTCTCGTTGTCCGCACCAAGGTAAGTGCGCCTGGAGCTCAGACTGGCACATTTATTGAGCTATTTAGGTTGTCCTTCAATATTGATGACGGTCTGGTTAAAAGCTGAACGAACGGGAATAGTTTGTGTTTCGCTACGTGTCATATTTTGCCTATTTTCTTTGTTTTCAATAGTTAGTCTTATTGGCTTCTCAGCATTATTAACTGGAATAATTAAGTATAGCAATCAACAAGAATTGTTTTCCACTTGTCAACTAGATGAAAGGAAGCACAAAAGAAACACAGCCCTTTAGAGCTGATCTTTCAAGTTATCAACCAATGAGGAGCATCGTGGATAACATTTTCTTCCCCCTGAGAATAGGCAATCATAAATCTCTCTATAAAAGACTATCAGGGATGTCTATTCTTGTGACACTGTGACATGACGCTCTTGTCATCTGCAAATGTGCTGTGCTGTATTCATAGATATTCTAGGATACAGGAGGCCTGTGGGCTGCGGGTTAGACAGCCCTGGGCAGAACAATTGGCAGCACAGGGTCTAGAGTCAGCCACGAAGCTTCCCAGAAATTTAATTTTCTCCTAGACTAGAGACATCAAAAATGTGAAGTTGTTCTCCAGGTTAATCAGAAAATGTAATAAATCATTGTACCATGCTTTGATATTTCAGAGTTTAGTGTACTTACTTCGGTGTGCTTATGAATATCTTTTGGGTTGCTTTTGAAAAGAATCAGTCTATTAAGTCCAGAATATTAAACTCAATGAATTTCCCGTGTTTTGGTGACGTGATCTGAACTAGCAAACAGTGAGCGGAGCACCTTCTCTGTGCCAGGCACAAGTGTGGTTCGGTGGTAGGAGAACAGGTGCTCAAGAGAGGCACTCTGCTTGAGATGCCATATTTAGCGCTTGCAAGCTGTGTGACCTGAACGACTTACATAACCTCCCTGTGCTTCTGTTTTCTCATAAGAGTGGAATCGTAGCAGGCTTGTTGTGAGGATGAAATGAACAGGAAGCAAGGGCCTCCCAGTCTCCCTTCCTGTGTGGCCTGGACAGCTAGCTCAATTCTTGCCTCCTGGGGCATGCAGTCCCTCCACTCAGTGGAAGAGAGTCTACCCGATGCTCTTTTCTCATGAGTGCTGTTGGATTAATAAAACGGAATAAGTACCTGCCTCACAGTGGGCACTCCGGCTCCTCTCACAAGTCTTAGCCACCTACCAAGAAATCTCAAAAGAAGTTCATAGGCAGTAATAGAGTGTTTTATGTTCAGCCGACGCTCTCTCTACCTACAAAGTCAGCGGAGGAACTGCTTCTGCTCCATAGCTCTGGGTGGTCCTCTGCCAGGCAAGATCTTTATCTTTCAATTGCAGCTCCCTATACTTGATTTCCACCCCTGAGACTAGGCAGCTGTGTGACCCCAGGGGACAAACCGGACAACAGAATTGACTCACACAAACAGGGCTCGAATTTAGCTCCTCCCCATCACGTCTGCAAGTCTGTCGTTCTATCTAGTGTGAATAATAACCTCTTCTAAGCCCCCTGATCCTATGAATTTCCTGATGGGTCAGAATCTTCTCAAGGGAGCGTTTTGATTCACACAGGGTGCTTGCCATACTGGAACATTTCTGTCTTAGTCTCAACATCGGGTCTGACTTACTGCAGAGAACACAGGAAATTAAACTAAAGTCAATTTTTATGCCATGACCGCACATCTTCTGTGCTGCTTCTCCGATGTACAGATGAATCTCATGCTAATTACCAACCATATTTTTTTTGGAAAATAAATATAAACTCACTGAGAAAGAAAACAAATCCATAAATAAAAGGCAATAGTGTGAATTCATGGTTCACTAACTGGAAAGTACATTATTGCAGAGAAATGTACTCATTGATTTTTTTTTTCTTTTCCAAACATGGAATGATAAGAGTATATTACATCTATGCATTAGTCCAAGTCCACTGCGAGCCCAGAAGCACTCTGTCCTTATGCGTGTGTCCCTCTGTGTTTCCTTCTCATCAACTCGTTTGTTAAAATTCATTTAAGGTCAATGGGGAAAATTTTCCTCGCACAAAAGCAGAATTTTAGTTTTTGAATATTTTGAATAGATATTTTATTATTAACTAACTGCTAACTAAACTTAAAAGAGCATTATTTTAGCTCTTGAAATGAAAGCAGGCGTTCGTATGAGACTTGACAGAGGCTTACACTGACAAGGATGTGCATTGATTTACTGGTAACATTTTTGTTACTGAGGTAAGTGAGCCTGCACTTGGAGAGACACAGCAGTAAGCTAACAGAAAAATTCAAGCAAAACAAAGCCCACATTTGTCTTTAAAAAAAACAATGGATCGCTGTGACACAGAACCAAGAAGCAATGAATATTGGCTGGTATTTTGATTCTTCTACTGGTTACTGGTGCTTTTAGGCACTGGCCTTGCCCCCCATCTCAACTCCATCTACAGTAGAACAAGTATTATCAACAAAGGGACCCTCAGAGAATTTTTAAGCAACTTTAAGAGGGAAGAAGAAAAGACATCTCTGTAGAGCATTCCTCCGGTCCAGGCATTCTTCCAAATGCTTTGCTCAAATCATTATATTTAACCTTCTAACAAACCAACAGACGATGTCTGACATGCCAGAGCTCTCCTTTTACATCTGAAGGGAATCTGTGCTCAGACGCTGAATGCAACAAAATCCCAGAAGCTTGTTTTGAACATGGGTTTTGTCAAAACTCAGAATTCAAGTGTTAGCAGGTGTTTTGGACTCTTCTCAATTTTGTGTTCTTGAAGGTTTATTCCCTGTGGATTGTTAATCATTTATCAACAGCTCAGGCAGTTCTAAACATGATAATGCCTCCAATAAGTCAAAGAGCAAAGGAGGCTTATTCTAACCATTTCCTTAACTAGCATTATGCCTTTAGAAACTTCAGATAGAAGAAGGGCATTGATTCCCAGTAGCGGGGAAAGGTCTTTTGAGAAATGAAGCAATGAACTAGGTGTGTGCCATGACCTAATGTCACAGAGTCCCAGCTGTATCACATGGTTACATCTGCTTGTCAGGTTATGATGACTCTTTCCCTTCCAGGGTTCACTCTGAGTCATGACATTGGGTTGATATCTTCATGCCATCTTGTCGCATGAGAACTCAGGTCCATGTTTTTCAATGCTTTGATTAGAAAGGTAGTTTATAAGGAAGAAGATTGCGTCTTAGACCTAAAGCTTCTTGATATAGGCTAAACAGAAGACCAGATTAATTTTTTACCAAGCTATTACTTTTATTCATTCACTCAAAATTACAGAGTAAAAATAGAAAGAAAAACCAGTAAAGAGCTTGCCATAATCTGGTTGCTTGTGTTTCCAAACAACACTTGTCTGAGTCCTTTGACTGACCAGTAATTTTAATTACAAGTGAATCTCTGCATCTTTATTGTTTCCATAATGGTAAGTTTAATTCCAATGCATTTCTGTCAGTGCTCCTTCGATAAATTATATCTTTTTATGAATCCGAAGTACCAGAAACATTTTTAAATTCTCATCTAAACACAAAGGTTTCTTCATAAATTAGTTGCTACTGATCAGTAAACAAACTTCTAATGCAACTGCTATTTATTTGAATTAAATAGTCACAGTAAATTCTTGTGTGTGGTTTCTGTTCTACCTGATTCCAGCAGTCATTAAGTCTCAAAGAAATCACACAGAGGTTTACATTAATCATAATTATTGACCCATTAGCTCAGGCTTCTTATTAACTCTTATAACTTACATTAGCCCATTATTATCTGTGTTAGCCACATGGCTCAGTATCTCTTTCAGTGACATAGTCACATCTTGCTTCTTCTGAGTCTAGACAGGACTGTAGAGGGAGCTTCCTTCTTTGCTGAATTCTGTTCTCAGTGACCCGCCTCTACTTTCTGTCTGGTTGTCCCACCTATACTTCCTGCCTGGCTACTGGGCAATCAGCATTTATTTAAAACATTATTGACAGAATATAGACCATTGTCCCGCACCTGTAATTTTTTTTCTCACTTTAGAGGAGAAATTCCCTAACTATTCCCATACAGAAGTCTGTTAGCACTGACCTAGGCAGTGTGCCACAGTTTCACTTATATTCTCCATGTAACTGTATTTGTTTTTGACTATTTCTAGAACTTCGCTAATTTTAATCTTTTCAGTACGTGTTCAGTTTTATTTTCATTCTTATTTTTACAGTGTTTTGGTTTCTCTTGGTATTACTATTTATGAAACAAGCAACAAACAAACAACTATTAAAAGGAAGCCCAGATAAAGACATAGCTCAATCAGTGCAGTGTTCGTTTATCATTCATGAAATCCTGAGGTCAAGACTCAGCGCTGTGTATACAAGGTGTGGTAGCCCATGCCTATAATCCCAGTCCTTGGTAAGTAGAGGCAGGAGGACCAGAGGCCAAGGTTAAGATCAGTTTGTGCTTCACTAGACACCATCTCTATAGATAAGCAAATAGATAAACAAGCCTAGATGGTTTCAGAAGCAGTAGGGAACATCTGAGCAAGCATGTATTATTCTGCTCATATATTATATATGAGCAATCATATATAATGTTAGGTGCATTTCTCCGAAGTATGCCTCACTCCATCTAGCTGATGCACCAGCTAGGAACCTTTTTCCCAATAAAGAGACAGGGAAACAATCATAGGGGTACTGAGAAACATTTACAAGATGATGGATTGTACAGTGCTGGTCACATTTCAGTTTTCTTTTTGGGTACCTATGTTTTGAGGTTTTTGTTCTTTTGAAAAGGATTTTACAGCAAGATAGAGTCAAAGGAAGAAGAGAGTGGGAGAGTCATGATACAATACGAGTCCCACTACCACCCATGTCCTCTGGGATGCTTTACCCACTCCGTCACTCTTGCATTACTGAGTATGTTGTCTTACCGTCTAGATCTCCCTCTCTCTGCCCATCTTCCTCCCATTCTCCAGTTTTATTGTACCTTCCTTGAGAGGACAGTCTTCATCCTTATTTGTCATATACCATCTTTTCACACTCCT